TGAATGTTGATCGATTAGGGTCAATTTTTGGAATTGCGTTTTATATGGCTAAAGCTATACGCATATTGAATTTCATACAATTCGGTTCATAACTCACGGAGATGGCAAAAGGGCCTTCCTTATTATTTGGACTACATTGCCAATTCACGAACTCCGATCTACAAATTTGATAAAGAATCTATCTACTAAATTTTATCGTAATCGGTCCATTCGTTATCGAGATATCATGCTAACGGACGGACAGGCGGACAGATACCTCAAAATTAAAAACTCGCTAGGAGCTCTTTAATAAGCTTCTGCTATATCGTCGCTTAAAAGTAACTCAAATTATATTGGTGCCAAAGTTGCCGAAATTGAAAGCCGTCATTATCACAAAAAAGTTTCATGGAAAGCTCTGCTGTAAGGATAAGGGGATCAAAATTGAATAAATGTTTTTCAATGTACTAAAATTTTCCATCTCTGATGGTAACGCAAATAAAAGCCGCGTATCTGAGTAGGGAATGGAATAGGCATTCCGCTGCTACACAATTTGAATGGTGGAGATCTTGATCTATCGTGCTGGGTGGCCACACTACTTAAGGGTGGTTAATTGAATTTTGCCCCCTTTCAATACAACTTTCCTGGGTTTCCCAAAACTAGTTCAACAAGGGGCGCAACGTTTATTAAGCGGCAGAGCAAAGCGATGCAAGCTTTATAGGGGAGTGGATGGTGTCCGTCTGTCCGTGAACACGAGAAGAAGAATCCATTGAACTGGTTCGGAAATTATTAGAAATGATAGGCGTTTATCCGACAAGGAGAAATTACGTTGCTGGACATGTGGCAAGGCTCGACATCTTAGAAGAAATTGCTCCCAGCCTGCAGAGGCCAGTGGCAGCAACCAGAGAAGGAACTCAGTGATCATTTCCCGCGTACTACCATTCGAGTTGCTCTTATAGGAAACAGTTGTTCATTGTTGGTGAACACTGGTGCAACAAGAGCAATAGTGCGGCCCCACCTTGTGAAGAATAAGAAACTGATGCCATCCGTCCTTAGACTCAAGACTGCAACTGCTGATCGTGTAACTGTTCTTTGTAGTGGACTTAGTATTGGGTTCAATACCCCTAAGCATCTAGTGTAGGTGGCTGATATCGCGGCACAAAAGCTGATTCACAGCTATCAAGTGTATTTTCCTCACAAAAAGGGCTAATGGATAAAACTAAAATCTTGACCCATAAGATTAACACTGGAACTGCACAACCGATTAACCAACATCCGAGAAAACCATGGAAAGAAGCTCAGAAGATTATAGAGGATATGGCGCAACAAGGCCGTCTACTAGTCCGTGGACGTCACCTGTGGTGTTGGTGAAAAAGTAAGATAGGTCCACAGGATTTTGCGTAAACTATCGACAATTGAGTAGCGTTACCAAAAAGGACGCTTACCCATTACCAAGAATCAATGACACTTTGGATACTCTTACCACAACTAAATGGTTTCCAATGTTGGATATGAAAAGACTGCGTTCGGCGTTGGTTCGGGTTTATGGCACTTTAAAGTTATGCCGTTTGGGTTATGCAACACCCCCGCGACTTTTGAGCGCGTAATCGAATTAATATTTAGAGGACTGTCATGGAAAACTTGTTTGGTGTACCTAGATGACGTTATAGTTATTGGGCGCACGTTCGATGAACACTTTAAGAA